GGGGGGGAGGGGAGGGAGATGGGGAAAAGAGGGACCCTGAGTGGGATGAAGCACAAATGAATTTGCTCACATGCTCAGTTCAAACTTCAAACAGATTGCAATTGCGATTGAGCATGAACGAGTGTCTGGACGGATGATTGCCTTATGATGTGTTTGACCCGGTTTATAGTCGTCGACTCCATTGCATACTGACCTTACGATGGCATGGCGAGAGTACAAGCACCACAGTATAGGACTGGACTGGGCCCAGGTGGGATGTGGGCAGCATGGCATGTGCTAGTGAGAGTATGAGCACCCGGGTGGCGGTACCAGACGCCCTGCGGACTCTCCCTGCGTCCAGGTCCAGACGTCTGACTCGGCCATCCATCCAGGGTGGCGATACCAGACTTCCTGTGCAGACTCTACCTGGGTCCAGATCCAGACGTCTGACTGGGCCATCCATCCAGGGTGGCAATACCAGACGTATGCAGACTCTACCTGGGTCCAGATCCAGACGTCTGACTCGGCCATCCATCCAGGGTGGCGATACCAGACGTCCTGTGCAGACTCTACCTGGGTCCAGATCCAGACGTCTGACTCGGCCATCCATCCCGACGACCTATCCATTGGCGTGCGCCGTGCGCAACATCAATTTTTAAAAAATTGTTTTCGAAAAAGTCCGCAGAATAAGTACGTTGTGTTTCATCTGTGAGGCTGAGTACCGTCCTCACCTGAATAGGACACCCGGTCATCGTCGCTCTATCTAGACTGAAATTTTTCCAAAACACACCGATAATGACGGGGCGTTCTGTTTGGGTGAAGACTCTGAAGAGTGTATGTAGTTCATTCAGTAAACAGTTTTTTCGAGTGGAAATGTGTTCAAGAGAGAATCTGGGGTAGAAGTAGGGCATTGAAACTTGTCCAGGGATGGACAACATTTCAGTTTTCTTTTCTGTACCCCAAAGAGTGGTTCTGTCTGGGTTGCAGTTTCTCTTATATATATTACCTTAAAACCACCAGTACTTCCTAAAGTCGTGCCCCTAAACAAGCCGCGACTTTAGGGAACGTACGGGCCACTACAGGAGCGTCCAAATTCATCCAACTAAAAACGTTTGTACTCGATTTTTTTTCCTGCGGCCGATAGCTGGGCCAAGTATTTGTGGTTTAACTTTAAAACAGTTTGTGCATGTGCCCCACTCCACTGTATTAGGCTTCTGACTTGGAACGTGCAAGAGAGAATGTTTTACGCAATATCACCGGAACTAAGAGAAGAGAGTCAGCAGGCCCATTCTGACTGCCTTAACCCCTCATAAACTGTTTTTTTTCTGCAATTGATTGATTCAATTTGATTGATTGGTCCCTTTGTACATGCAGGGCTTCGTTCTGCTTCGGATATGTCATAAAGCCGTCAGAGATCGCTTTCACTCAGCCAACGTATGATGGGCAAGCTCTTGCAATCCGGTACTGCCAAACTGAATCATTCCTTGTATATAAATAGCATGTAGCAGCGCAAGTTCTTTTTTTTTTTTTTTTTTTTTCGACGCA